CTATACTGTAGAAATTTTGGGTGGTTATGTTTCTACTTTTAAAACTTAAATAACTTTAAAGGTAACTGCTTTCCCACATGTGGGTGCAGACAACAAAAGGCAGGAGGTGAGATGTTGTGGGTTAAAGCACTCACCTCCCCACCCTTGTTTTGATTTTCCATGATGGTCAATTTGTTTAACTTTGGCATTTTGGATTTTGCTTGAAAGATGGGATATCCTCAATGCATTATCCATTATGATTATAGATGACTAACCAGGAATGGAAATAAATGCATTAAATGATTATATATATATATATATATATATGTTGCCTGCCTGTATTTCAGAACCAAATTATCAGAGAGGATAATATGATGATAATACATATTTTTTCCATTTTCAAATGCTACATATTTGTATGATTTTACTTTACAATGTTGATTTAAAAACATTTTATGAGATGAAAGCCATGTGGCTTTTGTAGTGTATACCAGTCAATACATTAAACAAAGTTAAGAAGTTGAAAAAGTACAAAATCAAACCTTGATTGTTTAATTCTCATGGCTGAGTTTTAATGAGATTCAGTGTTTGAGTATAATATTTTCAATCCAGCTCATGTTGTCAAGATACTTTTAGTTTAGTACTGAAAACATAATTTAAAATAAATTACATCAATACTGCTTATTAGCACCATATAGGCATTGTATAAACTGTTTTCTTTTCCTTGTTGCAGGAAGAAAAAACTATAAAATTAGAACGTCAGAACCAAAAAATGAAATCTGAAGTTCATCAACTGAAGTCGACTGTCGAGGAGTTGCAGAAATCTAAGTCAAAGCTGGATGAAGTAATGTCCGAGAAACAAAGGCTTTGTGCTCAGTTAGAACACCAGAAGGAGCAGCTAAGTACTCTAGAGGTGAGGAGGAATGTAACAAAACTCAAATATAGTTGTTGCTTTCTTTACTTCTGATTCTAACACCAGGTAGACCTCCTAAAGGACTGGCTAAAATCTAGATGAGCAGAAAAGTAATGTTCTGAAGTATTTGAATGCTTTTTAGTTGGACATGTTTTCTTTTGTACCATTAGTTTATGAAATACTTGAATTGGTCTGTACATTTTTTTTTTTTACTAGCTGAAGGACAAACTTATAGTTACATTATTTTTTACATAAAAACATGAATGCTTGATCAGTTGCTAATTAAGGTTTTAAAAAGTGGATTTAGAGCATTGTAAGATATAGAAATGTTATAAAGTTTCTTCTTACTTTTTAATTTTCAGAAAGAGCACAGTAGTTGTGAAGATTTAAAGATCTCTTCCATATCTCTGAATTCTGAAAATCAGCGTTTGCACAGAACCCTTGAAGCACAACGACTCAAACTCCAGGAATGTCAGAATAATCTTGATTTGGCTGAAAATGAAAATCAGAGAATAAAGGAAACATTACCAGAATTGAGGACCTGTACCAGCAAGCTTCAGGACTATAAACTAGAGGTTACAGAATTAGAAGCAAAAAATTATAAACTTGAACAGGAAAAGAAAGGATTGGAAAAAGAAATTCTGCGACTGAAGCATTCCATTGAAGTTAGTTATGCTGTTATTCATTAAGCTATTAGATTTTAAGGATTCCACATAGAAATGGGAATTTAAGATTAGAGTACGATAATTTCATTTTAATTGTTTATCATAGAGTGTTTGAAACTTGTTTAAGAAATTCTATATTTCTTAATAAATTCGTTTTAAAGTGCAAAACTGGATCTAATGAAATGTGAACCATTTTGTAAACAGTAAATATATATGTCTGTGTGTGTGTGTAACAAATATTGACTAGTCGGCAAGTTTTTTATTTTACTTTTTAATAAGGTTACATGAAATTGAGAGTTAAAAATTTAAGTGAATATTTTTAGATAAGTATTTGCCCCCTCTAGTGGCTCAATGTTAAGTCTGAGGGCTCACACTAAAAAACAAGTTTCGATACTTGTGGGCACAACACAGGTAGCCCATGTTATAGCTTTGTGCTTAACAACAAACAAGCAAAAATATATGAGTATTTTCTTATGTAGTTTATTATGTGAGTGAGTCTTTTGTTACAGGTCAAGGACAATATTTAAATAACTTTTTTTTTATATAGTTCAAAGACAAACATATAGATGAGTGCTCTACAAAGATATCTACCTTAGAAAGGGAGAATAAGCACTTTCAAAAAGAGATGGAGAACTGGTGTCAAATATCACATCGTGTAAAAAAGCTGGAGCGAGAAAATAAAGATTTGTCACAGCAGGCTGCTAATCAGAAGAGCACTTTGATCAGTCTCACAGAGGTGAGTTAGTAAACGAGTCACCATGAGGTGTGAGTTTTACTTTACTCTGAAGATTACTCTTATCTGTATTACAAAGGTAAGTCAGTCAACCGGTAACCATCGGATGTGATTTTTACTTTAATCTAAAGATTAATGAAATTTATGGAGGTTAGTTGGTAACCTAGTAGCCAGAATGACTTTTCCTAAGCTCAAAGATGTATCACTGATTTAGATATGGATAGTGAGGTCCATCTATGAAAATGTGCACATTTATGACACAGGAGCTGTGTTGGTTATGACATCTGATTGAATGAAGGAGATTGTATGTGTATCTTGGTTAAGCAGGGTTAACAGAAAGTATGGTGGTATATAACATGAGCTGTACGTTGCAGAGATTCTGCACATTTCCCCTCTGCTGTAGGTTTTTTCAGCAGTTTAAAAATGTTGTATGTAATTAAGAGGCCATTTGAAGTCAACAAGAAAGTTAAGAACAAGTGGAGATAGGCTTTGCTTGGTGAAAAACACTGTTGCTATCTAGTTATGGTACTGGTGTAGAAAAACTGATGTTTCAGGAATGTTTTTGTATCGTTTGCAATAAGGTGATCTCATATTAAAATAATGGGTAAAAATTCTTGTTAAAATGCCAATTACAGCCAAACAAATCTTTCATAAATGTCATTCCAGCAGCAGAACATCATTATCTCAGGAACTGAAGTCATTATGAAGAAGTCATCTATTGTGGACAGAGTTTCAGAGCATTTGAAAAACATGTTGTATGTGTTCTTTTCAGTTTGTATCTGTATGTAACACTGTAGCATTTAAGCTTACAGCATCACACACACATAATTGAAAATAAACCATATTGTATGTGTTCTTTTCAGTTTGTATCTATATTTAACACTGTAACCCTAGAGAAAGGCATAAACTAAAATCATTATTTTGTGGAGTGTGATTAGTCGTCTTTTTTTTATGTAAACGTGGTTTCAATCCTCCAGCTTGCTCTGTAAAATTTAAAAAAACAGAAAGGTTGTTGTCTAAGTAATTCGTTTTATCAGTTTGTATTTGTATGTGTTGCTGTAAGCTTAAATGTTGGGTATGAATAAAATAGGTTTTTTTTCTGGTGTATGATTAGTTGGTTTTTAAACACACTTATAGCGTACACGCAAACACACACCTCTGCAGTATGCTATGTGAGTGTACTGTGTACCACTAAAGGATTTTATTCTGGAAACAGTTGCATGTAAGTCTCAAATTCCAATAAACTAATAATAAAATGGACACAGTGTTACTATGAATAACTAATTACAATGATCTGGTTGAAAATACCAAGCATGGTTTAAAGTTAATGTGTAATAATCTTCTTGCCACATGTAGTTCAAAGTGTGCATGTCATGACTTTTTAGAGTTACATTCAAAACTACTTTATCATCATTGTATATGAATAAACTTGGCATCAAAATATAGTTAATAAATCAAGTATGCGAATTGTGACATTTGTTCTGTATGTCTTCCTAATTTGTTTACCACTCTTCTTTGAAGTACAAAATTTAATGTAAAATACTCATTATAATATAGATATTACTAAAGCAATGCATAATTTTTATAACCTTCAATCTTATTTGTTTATGAAGCCATAAACTAGAAAATCAAACCCACCTGTCACACCCTATTTTACAAATTGCCAATAGTTCTCTCTGACATTTTAAACTATATTACTTATAACAACTAATACCAGACTTTTAATCTATCAAGTGATAAATTATGTATTTTCTGTACAGAGTATTGTCTATTTTGCCTATAGTTTCAAGATTTCTCTTGCAGTATTCACATCAAAGTTTAACTAAATTTTTAAAGGCTCTTATTACATAGTTAGAAAGCCAAGTAAGTCATGATAGTAATGGAACATTGTTTGCTTTGTGTGTATTGCTATTCTGTCTTGTTAGGTGTTTTATTTGATTAAATAAAAATTATCTAGTGTACTAGTGCCATTAATATAAAAAACATAGGCTTAATTTTCATTGACAGTTGAAAGTAAAAAACAAAAGGACACAGATAAGTACCACAGTTCTTGGTTTTCATGTATGTTTTATATTTATCATTAGAAAAGTAACTAAAATGTAAAAATTAGAAACTTGTTAGGTTAGATAGGCAAGATAATGAAAAATAATAATTCTTTACAAGGTATGCTTGGTATCAGCTTGTGCTTTATGTAATTCAGTACGATAACTTAAGCTACGTGTTTGCTAAATGATTTACAACTTGTGTGGTGGGAGTGTTAATTAGACATGGGTCAGTGGACAATAAAATTTAAATATCTTTACTAGTTTTAAGTTATTTAGTATAAACAGCTGTACTTCCTTTTTAAAATTTGTAGTCATTCTAGAAAGAAAAAGAAGGGTAATTTAGATTTACTTTGTATCTGTTTTTGGTTATGAGGCTCAGTCAAACTGACTAAATGTCTATACTATAGAGCTATGATAGAGAAAATAACAAACAAAATATATAGTTTTACCAAAAAAATGTGTGATATGTATTTATGAGGTTTTTAGAGACTATGCAAATGAAATTTGATAATTTTCAGGTGAAGAGAAGTATTTTTAATTTTAACATGGAAATCACTTTGCACTTGGAGCAGTCAATACTCTGACTCCATGTATTAATGGACAAATTCTTGTAAAAATACATGATTAAAAAATCTGATTTTTTGTATACAAAAGACTTGTAATGTTCTATGAAAGCTTGCTAAGTTTCTTGAAGATACATGAATGTATTAAAAGTTATAGTATGTAAACTGATGGTTACTTTGTGATTACAAGGTTGGTGTAATCCACTGAGCCTGTAGCAGAAGGAATAAACAATTTTTTTGTTTTATTGCCATCCCTGTTTTAATCTTCTTTGGTTTAAACTTCCAATCATTTTCATTTGTACAAGGAATAGATCATAATGGCTTAATTCTGTGATATGTTTTTTTTAGTGCAACTGAGATTTTTAAACATATGACATGCTTCATCTGAAGCACATTATGTAACTCTCATTAAATTTCATTCTAGTAATAAAAGCAGTGGATAAAATTATTTAAAACTTGACAAGAACTTTCATAAAAGTATTTAGTTTGAGAAAAATAAAATATTTTGTTTCTTTCTACTATTTCTATAAAAAAATTCATTATTTATTGTATTTATTTGCACTCAGACTCTGAATAGTTCACATGCAAGGTGATTTTCATTTTGAGTACAAAAATACTATTTATTACATTACAATTTTCACATTTCACTTGCATAATCTCTAGAACCTCCTAAATGAACATCAAAAGTTTTTTTTAAGTTTATATTTTATTTTCCATTTTCTCTACCATATCACTAACTCTAACTATTATCATCAATGTACAATGCAATGAAATGTTTAAAATTCAGACAGAAATGTGTACATACCTTTTAATTCTTCATTGAATAATTTTAAAATATCTTTTTTGGGTTATATGTGTAATTTCACGTCTTTAACTTTTCACTTATAGTTTATTTTTAAGGTTTTATTTTCCTTTACTGTTCTTTATCTTTGATTACTTATGTCAACACACATCAACAGGTGCTCGTGGTCGATATAACACTAACATTTGTAGACACAGTTTAGCATACTGCAAAATTTTGTTTGTACTTGTAACTTTGTGAACACTTTTTTAGCGATGCAAAGCATAGACTACATTTATCAAATCATTAAACCTTTCAAATGTGAATTTTAAAACTCAAATAATACATATATAACTAAAATATAAAAATAAAACTGTAATGAAATTTAACTGCTTATCAGACTAATATGTAATAAGGTGAAAAAAAACTAGCTAAGTGCTAGGACAATGCTTTCTACAATTGACTAAGATTTCTTTTGACTTCCTTAGTAAAATTCACACGTTGACTCGTTACAACATATAGTGTGAAATCTGCTCTTTCTTAAGGTTATAAGCATGCCACTCAAATTAAAACTGTTGCTTAGCAACACAGCTTCGACTTTGTTTTTACAACAATTTCCTCTGGGACAAGTTCTTGGAATGTACTCCAGTTACTGATAAACAACCTATATACTGTACTTTGAACGTCTGCACGAAATTGTCTACATTACATATGCAGTTTCTTACGTACCAGCTCTTAAATTTGAGACTTATAAATGCAAGAGTATCATATGATAACAAAACTCAAGTTTTTAATAATGTTTTAAGAGGTTTCTTTTGATATAAAAGAATAAAAACTTAGATAATTATAAAACTTTGAAT